CAGGAGACCAGGACATCTCTACCTTTTGAGGTTCGCCAGCGTAGATGGAGCGATTGTCGAAGTGCAGCATATCATTGGCCATTGACATGAGGCCATGTAAGGCGAGGTTGAAACATAGACTGTCATACGGCTTTTGTAGCATCTCGTGATCGCTGTTGATAAATCTTTTGACTTGGTCCAGGAGGGTAGAGGAATCGTCGTGCTCGGAGAGGAGCACTTTCCAATCGGCGCCATTGGTTGCCTCCCAGAGTTTCCTCGAGCAGGGAAGTCCGATTTGTAGGGATTGGATGGACATATTTGGCATGAATGAATAGCAGGTGGCATTTTGGGTGTCCCAAATGAAGAAGAACAATATAAGTCTGGAGGACTGTTAGTCAATGTTGAAGGCAGAGAATCTTGGCATACCTTTTGTACTGCTCCGCGTATGCAAATTCCATCCAGTCTCGTTCTTTGTGAGTCAATCGGTCTGGAAGTGTGATGCGTGCTCTGACGTGGTATCGAGATATCCTTCGAATGGACTTCTCAAAGTTAGATCCATTTCAGCGCTGACAAGTCAAGAGGGCTCACATTCAAAAGTAGGCCATGAATGAGAATAGCATTTTCTCGTTGGTAGGGACCAGCCCTGTACATTCCGTAACATTCCAGTACCAAGAAAGCCTGCAAGATTGCGAGGTCAGGCACTGGCCCACTCAGCAAGCCACTTAGTATGTACGGCACAATCGCATCATACAAGCAGACAGAGAGTTGATGAGCATCCTTGTCTTTGTATGTTGCACCTAGGAGCATCAGAGACAGCAGAGCAATGGGATCTGTGTCGCTGATATCCAAAGTCGCAACGTGTATGAGAGGATAAGATGCATTGAAGAATTCAAAAAATAGATCCAAATATATTTGCATGTTCTCTAACGAGAAGTCAGGACTGTCGCCATCGATGAGTGTGCCATCCGGTCGGACAGGCCCGATGTCAGCGATGAACTCAAGAACCTCGTCTCTCTTTTCTGATGTGAGTAAAAGGAATTGAAGTTTTTCGGAACTGAAACTGTGAGATCTCCGTATCTTTTGTACCGCAACTTGTGGTTCATGGTGCCTCGAGTCCGAAAAAGCCTGTAATGGAGAGGTGGCAGCTGGGCTTTTACCCTCTGAAGAGTTTGGTCTGGTGTCCGCTGAAAATATTGATTCGGAAATCGGGGTTCTAGTAACATCCTCAGCGGCATCCTTTGACACTCTCTCGCCTTGACGCACATTCTCAATCGCTACCTTTATCGCACCTGGAGACATAGCAGGGATCACTGAAAATTGTGTTTCTGCTTCACGTTGAATGAGAGAGTCACCGCTCATTGGTGATGGAACCAACGACAGAAGCAGATTTTCGTTACTGGAGGATTGAACCGTTCCCTCGTCGAGTGTTTGAGTTGCTGATGGGCGGTAGTCAGGTAGTTGTGGAGCAAAACCCGTCACGTTGAAGTGTACCAAATCGAACGTCATGTCGTGATACATGTTGCCAATTTCATAGAAACCTGGTGATTGATCAACGTACATGTTTGCCACCTGCGAAGTGTTCGGATAGTTCAATTGAGAGTTGAGGAAGTCCGTAGTTAACTCGGAACCCGCCAGCTCTTGAGGAGAACCCCAATGTTCACCGGGCTGGTGAGGCAAGAAAGCAACCGAGTCAGACACACTGCTTGTCCTACGACTCGGGCCGGTGCCTTGAGGCTCGGTGGCAGGAGGCGATAGTTGACATCGAGTTGTCGAGGGGGGTGATGTTTGACGGGGAGATGATGCAGAGACATTTGCAGACACAGACACTGCTTTGAAGTGTTTACTCTTTGTCTCTAAGATACCCAGGCCTACGCCTCCAGCACGCTTATCTCTGATGGCATGTCGTGCCTTGTGGCGTTCTTTCATCCTCGTATTAGTATTTGATTGGCCTCAGACCTGGAAGAATGGAAAGATAAACAAGAGCAATACCGGAACTCGAATCTATTGGGTGACACACCTAGCAAGTCTAGTCGCTTAAAACACGCCTTGCACCTCTCGCAAATCAACTGTGTGTCCGAGTGGTTCAGGGCGTGGCGCTGGAGGTGAGAGGGACGTGAGAATGCTTTTCCACACCCCGGTACTTTGCAAGAATGTCTCTTCATTTGGGGCAATTATATGGTCAGCATCTAGCTTGAGAATCCAGATCCAAGCGAGCAAGGCTTTGAGTGGGAAGCCAACGAGTCGTTATGTGAATTGTTTCTGAGGAAGGACTCTGGGGTGGGGAGCGTTGGGTGGTGCGTCTCCTTTTGTAACAGGAAACATGCTCGCCGGTTCCCCTAACTTGGGCCCCAATCCCGCAAACGCATCAGTCGCTGTGGCACAATCTGAGTCGGGATGCCAGGATGGCTGGAGCTTTCAAAGTCAAGGTTGTTGTGTCGGGATTCGGGCCAGTCTTCGGAGAGCAGCGGAAGACCGACGAAAGATGGGATGAATCCACCAAGGGGTGTGTTTATTGAGCAGTTCGGATCTCCTCCGCATTCCGAACAGTTTCCATTTCCCCTGACATCTGGAGAAGTATTGAAGTTGTCGAGGGCTGTACCGTAGCAACCACATCACTGCGCTCGGTCACCACTGGAATTGTAATGTGAAGAACATCCCGATATCATCTGAATATGGTGCCAAAACGACAGACGCGTTTCCAGCAATGCAGCGTCAATGGCCTAACAGTTGCAAGGGAAAGATCTTCTAGCATTTTCCTTGCTCGCAGCTCGAGCCTTGACGGACTCGATGATCACACAAAAGGAGCGAAAATAGATGCAACATTCAAATACTCGGTATGCCGCCTGTGAGAGGATATGCTCTGGAAGATCCCAGCTCCTTTCCGGCAGGAATATGGCACAGCAACGGTTGCAATTTCTTTCCCTCCATTGTCTGATGCGGCCGCTACGGCCGTAGGCCGCACCGCACCTCAAACGAGATTTATCGTACGATGCTGACTTCCCTAACCTTGTATTCCAGCATCCCATTGGATTTCACCACATTCTTGCCGAGCATCTTCGCAACGGTTTCAACACCTCTCGCTGGGACTCTGAATTCGAACCTGTTTCCTGGGCCTGGCTGCCTACCGTCCGGAAGCAGATGATGAGGAGAGGGCAGATACTCCAGCAACAGCCCAAGTTGGATCAAGACAGTCGCTTGATCCCATGCAATGTGTTCATGATACAAACGATCTCCGCGAATGCTGACGACAGAGGTGAAGGGAATCCGCAGATTTCGACCTGTGGAGGAATTCCAGGAGCATCAGACATTGATTAGCGAGGAGGAGAACACTCACAGCCAGTCCACCTCGCAAGTGTGTATGGAATTCATGATAAATTTGCCACAGACTCGGTCGACTCCTATTATGCGACTGACGAGCTCGTTTTCTACATTTGGCGGGCTGCTGAAGATAAAATGGTCCCGGTAGAAGGAGGTAAGCAGCTTTCTTCCAATACTGCTGGTCATTTGAAAAGTAAGCTGTTGTCATTCAGGCAGGAAGAGCTACTGGAATGCTTACAGTGGGAAAATGATTCACATATGGCTCTTGCACCATTGTCCCCACCGTTTTTGCAACAGAACGATCGTCGAATTCGAAATAGCAATGCTCTTCCCAGATGACTTCCAGATCAAAGTCTGCCCCTCTACCATATCTCTTAAGAAACGTCAAGTTTCAAGTATATGATATTGCTTCGGTAGTATAGTCGAAGTCGCCGAGACTAAGCACTGCAAATCACGGCTTCATTGAGGGGTAATTGCATTTTGTAAGACCATCTTTCTTGGTAGTCCTTGAATCGACTCCTCCAGTGAGGTACTGTAAGCTTGGAATAGATTCATTCTGCAGCGGGGGATCTAAAGCACTCCCGTAGCACACAGCTGTCAGTATCAGCGGCAAAGTTGGCTTTGCAATGACTCAATTACAAAAGCCCCGAGCCGTAGTCTAGTTTGTGTCAGCTTATAAACCAGCAGTAGATTTGGCTTTGCATGCCGATTCCGTCTTCTTTATGGCACTCAGGGCAATTCTTCAACCCCGAGATCGCCAAATTTAACAACTCCTCTGTTGTACCGGCCTGTTCAAAAGCATTCTCAAGTATCTGTACAACCGCGTAGCCTTCTTCCGACCATTTCAAAAGTGGTGGAGGGCCTCCATCTTCGCATAGTGTTCCGCCTTCTTTGTATGACGGTGTCCCGTTTGGGAGCATTATGATGAGCCCTGGACCATAACCTCATCAAGTCAACGGAGGCAAGTGTGATACTCCAGGAGCGAGTTCCTTCAGCTCAGCAGTCGGGAGCGCAACCTCAATTTCGTTTTCAAGTAAGCCCGTTTTAAAGCAAGATGTGAAAGGGAAATGGTTTATATTTCGCTTGAGGAACATTTCAATTATATACAAATTTTAACCGCCCATCCACCATCTTACGATATCATGCGATTCTTGTTACAGTTTGGTGTCAGGAGCCATCTTCAACAACTCCTCTATTTATTACAGAAGCGGCCAAGACCGATATCCCATCTTAACGGTGGCAATATTTCTCGCTAGTCGCACCCCCATACATATCCCACTTTCGACAGCAGACCTGACTCGCGAGCTTGAGTTGCACCACTTCTGAGACGCTACGGACTCGGTAGTGAGTGGGGACGATAGGGCGTCGTGCAGCTGGCTGTACAAATCTCGAACATCATAGGAGGTTTGAATCGTGCCTAATCACGTGATAATTCGTCTTGCTGAAGACGACCTGTGAAAGTCACGTTTTAGGTGACAGACAGATAAGGACCAAAAATAAAATGGATCCCATCATATAACCGATTCATTTGCGGCGAGACCGTATACAGAAGTCACCTTCCCTATAATGTTAGAAGTGACGCTATAAAACTGCAACCCCTGCGCCCCTTTATTTAGCGAGAGTCACAACAAACACGATTCACATCAACGAAATTCGCTTTTGGTCTTATAGATCGAAACAAGAACTTTTCGGCAAATCCAACCGGGGACGTAGCTCAACGGTAGAGCTCACATAAACTACCATTGCCTGGGTAGTAGTAGGGGGGACTGTTTTCTTCGGAGAGTGGAACCTGCTTTGCCCGTGGCTGGTTTCGAAATGTGGTATTGAGCTGGTTCGACTCCAGCCGTCTCCAAATATTTTTGAACAGTGAACATACGCAGGTCGATTTGAGTTTTATTTTTATTTTTGAGAGATCGTAATTCTAATCTGTCCCATTTTATACACACTGTAATAGAGTGGTTACCAAGAGCCTGATCTCACCCGAAGTGCTTCCTTAATGATTTGGAGATGAAAGCGAGGATCAGGCAGATTTTTGTTGGAACTTAATATACCAAAAGGAGAAGTTTTTGACAATTTGAATTCAAGGGGGCGTAGCTCAACGGTAGAGCTCACAGGACAATTCTAACGATGGGGCCGATGCTAAGGGGTTTGCGGGCGTAGACCGGGGTTTCAGCTGATCCCTACTCTCTCGCTTAAGCTGTCCCCTACTATGGTTCAGCATATGCTCTCCTTATGCTCCGCATATGCACGGGCTAAGAAGGTTAAGGTTGGTCCCGAGCTTGCGAGGTCGGGTTAGTCCCGGGGGTGTGGGGGCGGTGAGAGCCCCCCACATTGGGGTATATTAGCGCATGAAGGCGCCGCGAGTTAGGGTTAGTATATATGCTGAGCATAAGCCAGAGGCGAAAAGTCGAGAATATGCTAGGAGAATGCCTTCGGGCAGTTAGGAGAAGGTCGGGGATGGACGAGGGCAATAGCCGAGAGGGGTAGTGTTCCTTTAGTGAAATCAGTATATATTATATCTTGAGGCCGAGAATATGTAAGCAGCTAATTACTACTATGGAAAAATACAACGGCATTTGCGCTAATTAATAGTAGGGGACAGCTTAAGCTATAGTAGGGCTCAGCTTCCGGCTCGCTTCGACCACGAGTAACTTGTCTCGCTGTAGCGATGAGACGCCATAGCGGCTCGATTCGGCATATCACAGCGGAAAGTCTCTGCCACAGGCAGCACTCCAGGCACCTCCCAAACTTCCGATAGTGGCATGAAGCCTGTAAAATATCAGATGCCATTGTGGCAGCTACCGGCTCAATCTGAATGGAGAATTTGCACATTTACACTCCTCTCGGCGAATGAAAGTCGAACGCTAAAGACCAGACTTTTGATTCATACCCCTTTTGGAAATACCTTTCTTGTCTTCCTCAGATGGAATCAAGCCTCAGCAGAGACTACTACTGACTTCCCCTTCTCTGCACCCTGAAGAGCGCTGCAAAATTCATTTAGTTAGTGAATTGGGTAAGAACGCGATTTCACTTACCCAAAGTTCCTTGCGACTGCTTGCTTAAAGTAGTCATCAACCGTCATGGGAGGGCTGCGATGAAGTCAGTCAAATGTCAAAGTACTCGCGAATGAGAGTGAAGTCACTCACTACTTCTTCTTCGGTCCCTGGAGCACGAAGCCTTTCCTGCTCTGGTTGAAATAGGCTATGGAGTAGCGATCTGGAGATTTGCCGATGTCCTTGGCTCTGACTCTGTGGAAGTTGGATTTAAGCCTGTCGTCAGACCATGCCACTGCGTTCACGTCAGTGATATCTTCAAAAGTTGACTTGCAAACTTACTCAGCATATCACCAATGTTCACAACAATTGGACCAGTCTTAGCAGGAAGAGGAGTGAAAATTTCCCCCATTGCAAAAGTCGAGTGATTTTCTCGCCCCGGGCAGATCTCAAGTCCATCTTCTCCATCCCTTTGGAAAAGGAGGGTCAGGCATCCGATATCGGTATGAGATCCAGCTCTCCAGGACCCAACAGCGTTTTCTGAAGCTGGGTAATGGATTAGGCGAAGTTGGGTAAGGCAATCTGGCTGAAGGGGATCGTTTGCTATCTTGAAGTAATCCTCAGGGAAGCCGATAGCCTTTGCAAAACAGGATACTCCTGGTCGTCAGCTTTGGCTATCATGGCATTCAGTGTCGCAACTTACAAACTTGGTCAGAAATGCTTGCGCATTTCGCCATAAAGTTCTCGGTTGTCTCCCGGAACTGGGGAACATCGTCATCGCTTGGCCATTCTGAGTTTCTTTGAAGCCAAAGTGACTCTTTTTGGTCATACGTCCCGGTACTGGGTCGAAGTTGAGCCTGATGAACCGTGTCAGATCTCTAACTCCACATTCCAGGATTCAAGGAGGCGGACCATGTACTCCAATCCATTATTGGTCTTCCTACTGTGAGGAGTTTTCCCCTTCGTTTCAAGGGACAGCCCAAAGAAAGCTCTGGAGATGGCAAATTGTGCTTCAATCTCATCGACACTGATGCCGTGATCGACCAAGGTCAAGAACCCAGCATTTTCTGCTGCTTCTACCAGTTGCTCGATGATCTCCTCCTTCCGTCTTTCAAAGTCTATACAAGTATAAGCTATTCGAACTTTAGGGTCCAGGAAATTTCTCATTACCTTTCAGGGAGATGGCTGGAACAAGTCTTTCTGCCATTGTTTTGGTTGTGATTTCTCTACTGAATCGCTGATTGGCGTTAAAGGATAGGTAATGATAGTGAAGTTATACAAATGCTAGCGGCGACCCATTCCATCATTATGCACATTCCCAACAGCTCAAGTTTCATACCCATCCTTCAGGCCGCATTCTCCATCTCCGTGATTCGTCAAGAACGATATCTCCTGGTATCGTTCAAGAGTGGGCATTTTATCTGCACCGTACCACTTGGGTGGATATATTGTGGGGTAAGTGGGACACTTCTCCTGGACCGACCAATGACCCCCTGCAACAACACCATCGAATTCCTCTTCCCCATCCCCTTTGGTATCTTCCCTCGGCGACGTTCCGGAACTGGCCTCTCTGCAAGTTAACTTGTGGCAGAGGGGCCAGCCCGTGCACGAAGTGGAAATCTTCCTGATGGGCCCCCGATAAGTTGATAGCGGGCAAGTGAGTCGAGGCATATAAGGGAGACGCGGCGATGCGCCAGGACTTCTCTCCTTCTTATCCTGAAAACATTGCAATCATGTCGACAGAAAAAAAGACTTTGGACAGGGCGGACATCACCAATGCCGACACTGAGGCGGTAAGCATTTGGCGGTTCTGATTTTAATGGTGGATTCCCGACTGAGATTTTGTGGCCAGGGAGAGGTTCTTGTCATCCCCCTCGAGAAAGCAGGAATCGACCAGCAAGCAGCCAGCAAAGACAAAGCTCTCGGCTTGCTCGCTACCCACCATGTCAATTTTGACCCCAGTTCCACAGAAGCCAAGCGCGTGCTGCGGAAAATCGACATGCGGATAATGCCCATGGTGTTCGTGGTCTACATGCTGCAACTGATGGACAAGAACAGCTTATCATTCGCCGCCATCATGGGCATCAAAACTGATTGTCATCTCACGGCCAAGCAGTATTCGTGGCTGGGATCGATCGTTTATTTTGGGTATCTTGGGGGCGAAATTCCTGCCACGTTCCTGATGCAGCGATTTTCTCTATCAAAGTATTTCTCGATCATGTGTATGCTCTGGGGGGTCGTTGTAGCCATGCATGCCGTATGCCACGACTTCGCCAGTCTCGCAACTGTCCGATTCCTCCTTGGAGCAATTGAAGTCTGCACAGCTCCTGCTGTGATTTACATCACGGGGTCCTGGTACACCAAGAGTGAGCAAATCACAAGGGTTGCAATCTGGTACACAACATCCGGCTGGGCCAACGTCTTCGGCGGCCTCTTCGCCTTTGCCATCAACCAGGCCAAGACCTTCAAGTGGCAAGGCTTGTTCGTCTTCTATGGATGCCTCACCTTTTGCACGGGCATCATCCTGTTCTTCTTCCTCGCTGCTTCACCAACCCAGGCCAGCTGGCTCATGGATGAAGAGAAGACTATTGCTCTTGAGAGAGTCCGAGAGAACAAGACTGGCTCTGAGGTCTGGCGATTCAACAAGTCGCAATTATTTGAATGTTTCACGGACATTCGGTTTTACATGATGTTTCTGCTGTTGGTCTCCACGGGTCTTCCAAATGGTGGTTTAACTGCTTTCGGTGCATTAAGCGATTCCCCCTTTGTTGACTTTTGGGAAACTGACATATTTAGGTCCTTCAATTATTGCCAGTTTCGGTTTCAACACAGACCAGTCCACACTTCTAAATATGGGATCTGGTGCATGCACAGTGGTCGGTACAATCATGGCTCTATACCTGGCAAAATTCACCGGTCGAACGATCGCAGGATGCTACACGCTCTGCCTGTCCTGTATCGGTGTTATAATGATGTTTGTTATCCCGGCTGAGCACTACGGAGCTCGATACGGAGGATACATCCTGACCCAGCAATTCGGAGTTTGCGTGCTGTTCATTATCACGTTTTTGACAGCAGGCATTGGAGGCTCCGCCAAGAAATTCGCTTTCGGATGTGCATACCAACTTGGCTATGCAGTTGGAAACATCATTGGTCCTCAGACATATGTTGCTAAGGATGCTCCAAATTATTACGTAAGTGCAAAGATCTCCAGATCTCAGTGTCAAACTTCAATGCTGATTACTTGACAGCCTGCCAAGTACACTATGCTTGCGTTCTTACTTTTCACGATCTTTCTTTTGGCTTCATATGGTCTTATTCATAAGATGTGGAATAATAAGAGAGACAAGCAGGATATTCTTGATGCTCAAAGTAAGTCTTCATCCAAAAAAGGTAACATTTTTTTGCTAACGATTTTGACAGATGGTATTGTTCACGAGCATATTGAGAATGAGGAGTTTGCCGACTTGACGGACTTCAAGTTGAGGTCTTTCAGGTATCCATTGTAGGGTATTTGTGTGGTGTAATGATATAAATAGTGCTGGCACACAATTGTCCTACAGATTTAGGATTTAGGGGAAAGGTGTTGATCTAATGGAGCCATAGAAACATATCAATCTCTTTCTCCACGATGTCCCCATCACTTGATGCTCCAAGCAGAGTTAAAACGTTTGCAAAAGGCCAGGTTTGAGAGACTCAAAAATCTTTTGGAATCTGTAATTATGTACTGCTAGTGAGCCGGGAAAGATTGGCCACTTGACCTCCATCTCGGAACTATATACCTTATGCAAACCATTTGTACCCAAAAATTACCCTTTGATCGATCACGACCTGTCACCATTCAATACTAATTGGGCGT